GGCACGCTGGCTGAAGAATTCTGGGAGTTGAAGTCCACAAGTCATAAAAGGGCCAGGTTTGAAGACACCTGGTCGATGGAAATGACTATTAGGGGACAAGGAAGAGTCTGGGAAGCATTTCAGAAGTTTTCCTCCCTAGTTTTCCAAAAAGTGAAAGGTGAGGAGTGGAGAAATACTTTCAGTCTTGCATTTTAATGTACAAAGTTAGTACTCATAGTTTTGCTATGAATACAACTATGAGAAGGGCTAAATGGGACTGCAATTCTTGTTGATTTTTAAAATTGGTTTGGTGTCCAGTACTACTTTCAGGGAGCCTTGATAAGACACTTATCAAAATGCATCAGGCAATATCAAGTCTCCATAAAATCTCTTCCTCATGGCATCTATAATCAAGTGACTTTTTTTTTTCTCACTTAGTGCTGGGGCAATTTTCCTTGCCACAGTGCAAATTTGAGGTTTCTGATAAACTGCAAAAAGTCAGAACTGCTGCAGGAAAATGACTATAAGCAACAGTTGCCAGGCGAGATAATTGAAAGGCTCAACATGACATAATGTATTGGCTAACCTCAAGATGCCAAATTCTAAAACTTCTCATACATGTTCACATACAATGAGCCCTGGAAATTCAAAGGAAAATCTTTAAGTGCACAGCCTTTTTTTTAATTAAAAAGATTAGGGAAATGATAGGATTTATAACGATGCCTTTAGGGAAAGTAACATGACTTCAGCGACATAACGATACTTCAGCTAAAAAAGCTACAGGGAGATCTGTATGTCAACAAGGAAATAGTGCTTTGTTTTATTATTTTTTCCCATTAAAGTTATGAGCTCTTCAGCCCACAAATCTTTTGATAAAATGAGTAGGGGGTAATCTTTAGTGTCAGCACATTTCTCAATAAAGTTTCCAGAGAAGAAATGCAACTCAAACAAGCCCTATTGAGAACAACATTAAAAGTGCCCCAATGGGAGATGCTGGCTGAGTTTGCAGATTATAATAAGTTGCAATGTAGCTGCTCAATTTTGGTCGAGTGTTCCATGAATCAAGATATTGTAATTTGTAAATCTTAGTTCTTGGCTTGGCACAATGCAGGAATACAACCAAATATGACTTATTCAAAAAAACAATGGAAACCAGGGCTTGGTGCAATGTATGAACCAAAAGGATTTGAATCATAGCCAAATAGAGTCCCTCTCTATTTTAAAACGTTTTGCTTTGTTCAGAAAACATGATCGCTTGTGGATATTTGGTTCATGCTGCCTTTCCCAACAGGCTTCCTTCCGGTTGCCTTGCAACTCCAGTTGTGGGAGTTGCATTTCCAAGGCAACTGAAGGATGCCAATTGGAAAGACAAGATGAAACCCTAGAGAGGGCCTTTGAGTTTCATCTCCTTCTTTCTGTCTGGCTTAAAATATGTTAACAATTACTAACAAGTTGTAAGCACTGAAACTGCTTTATTTTGTGAAGGTTATTGTTGTTTTTTACATAAATAATGTTGACTTAAACATGAACAGATCATTCATCTGGGCCATAAAGAGATGAGTTGTAGGTTGCACGGGAATCAGCAATTTCCAAATGGCCTCTAAAATCCAGGGTGTCTCTCCATTTGAACTCCAACCATGGCGTCAACATGGCCTGGCATCATTTATTGTACCCTTATGACAATACTTTCATCTTACCTACAGCCCAGGAGAGAGAAGACGTTAAGTTGTTCTTAGATGTACCTGTATTAAAACAGTATTTTCCAGCACCATGTGACACTTTGGGGGGGGGGAGAGAAAGGAGGAGCTATGTTGGGGCATACAAAAGCCAATCTACCTTCATTCTTTAAAGTTCCCTGTTTTGTTTACCTGGGATTCTGCTTCTCAGAAAAAGACATAGCTGTTTTAAAGAGTTGTAGACAAAACAAGAATGGAACACAAGCTGCCTTCCATTATTAGTATCACTTCTGCCTATTTTGATCACAGGCTTTAGGGACAAAGAATGTAGATGATTTAAAATATGCTGTAACTCTTGAAATGTCATTTCTGACAAGCTGTCATTTTCAACCTGTTAAAGGTCAGGACTAAGGAGAGAGACTTTTCGCAGCTAACCCACTTTCAGCTCAGTTTTGCTTGGTACATTCTCCTGGGGTAATGCCTGTCCGTCAGAGGCTTCCCAACTGACTAATTACAAAGCTGACGTGTCACAATTGCTCAGACAAGGAAACACAAAACCGTGAGACTTGGTTGTCGGGATTGCTTTCCCATGTGCAGGAAAAATGTCTTTGCTTTTGTAGGCCATGGATCCTCTTAACACATTCAACAGGAAAACAGAAATATGGTTCTTCGTGTGAGCCTCATTACAGAACCTACCAAATCTCTGGACCCAGCTACGTTCATAAGGACTGTTGAGCTAGGGAATGAAACTGGGTATGGAAGCTTGGGTGGCAAGAGTTCATATTTTGGGGGTTAGAACTGCAGTGGGCGGCACAGAGAGGCCATGTCACGTAAGGGAAGTCAGCTTTTTTTTCCTTCCAGTTCTGAGTTCCTTTATTAACTTTAAAGGCCTGTCTTGGGTTGTACATTATTTTTTTTCAATGAGTTTTCTCTTTAGACAATTGGTTGTTTCCTCCAAGCAATTTGGATGATTGAAGGACATAGAGAAAGTAGGGGTTAAGTCAAGCTTGGCTCTTAGTATCTACATGGACACATGTACCTTTATATGTCCCTTCCTCAGATCAAGCAACTAGTTCCTAGATGCTGTTGTAATTGATTCCCAGAATTTGCCTTTCCCAAGTATGACATCTTAGATTGTGTTCTACCAGCTCCTCTGGAATTTTGACATTTTCCACCTCTGCCTACAGATCTTGTAAGCCTTCCTTCCCTGAGCTACAATCATTGTAGATGATTGTAGATCATCTGAGATACAGCCATTGGCAGTAATAGACTACACTGCTCTGTAGCCAGAGAAGTAGGCTGGGAAGATTGAAAAGATAGGACAACTATTCACTACAAAGGACCAATCTTGCTTCTTTAGGACCTTCAAGTGTAAATTGGTATTCAGAAACCAGAAAAAAGAGACTTTACAGAATGGAGATGAACATTATTCCTGGTTAATAATCCAAGCATTATATAACTGTAAAATAAAAAGTCAAAAGTTTCAATGTCATGCAGTGATTTTTAGAAGTTTAGAAAGTGAACAAGCCGGGGGGGGGGGGAAGATGGCAACTAAAAAGCAGAGCAGTACATAATCAGAGCTATTAAAATTGAAGGTCAAGGAATATCTGGGTTCACACATTGTGCTAAGGTTGGTTTATTGATTTGGCTTAGCATGGCATGAAATCAACCTAGGCAGGTTGAATGCAATGGCTTATAGCAGGGGTGTCAAACTCGCAATGTCACATGACGTGTTGTGACTTTTTTTTTCCATTGCCGGCAATGGGGTGGGCGCGGTTTCGGCATGACACATCCAGCCCGCGGGCTGGCAGTTTGACACCCCTGGTTTATAGCTTTATGTTTTTTTAATAATAATTAGAAAGCAACATTCACATCATTAGCTATGGGCCTCAAGCTAAAAAGTGACACCGCCTGCCATGAACTGACAGTGGTTATTTCCCCTTGCAGTGTGTGCAAGCAATACAGAGAGAACAGCTGAGCCTTCCTATTTGCAGGATAATTAAGCACACTAGGAACTGGCCAAGCCTCAGGAACAGGACATCAGTTCCCTTGACTGAAAGCCATAGACTCAGTAGAAGGGACAAATGCTGCTGCAACTGATTTGTATGCTTGCCTTTCTTCCATTGTGATTATCTCATCAGAGAGCTGTGGAGTCCCACTGTTTGAAGACCAGCCTTGTGCCTTCAGAGCCTCTACTATGGGGAGGTGTTTTGCACATGTTTCACGTTCCTCCCTCTGGTGCAATAGCTGAAAGAACCTGGGGCAATATTGCAGCAGGGACATCATAAGAGTAACTCTAGACAAAGTGGAAGGTCTTCTGTTTCAGATATTTCAAAACAAATGCTTGGCCAATCACCTCTAAGCTCTCTGTTAAGAGCACTGAGCTCATATCAAGAGGCAGCCTCAGAACCTCTCACCTTGCCATGCTATCGCTCTTCGTCCCAACTCCCAATTTCATCCCATTGCAGCAGGCAAGAAGAAGCAGGTTCAACCCTCCATCACAACACTTAGTGACTGCATTTGTTATTTATATCCCACCTTTATTATTTTTTATAAATAACTGAAGGTGGCAACCATACCTAATATGCCTTCCTCTTCCTATTTCCCTCCCAAGCACCTCCCTATAAAGTTGATGAATGTCCTTACACATTCCTGCCTTCCCTAAAAAGATTTCTTCATGAAGCAGCCCACAGCTATCTTAATTCAGTTCAGACTGCAGCTTACTGGAACAGCATCCACTCAATGTAATCTCAGCTGTCAATGCCTGGCACTACCAAGTCAGGGTAGTAAAATTTCTGCCTAAAACTCAGGAGGTCCACCAGTTCACCCAACACACCAAGCTATACAGCAGTGATTTATTAAATGAATCCATAGTGCATGGCTTAGCACATAGGTGGCCAACCTTGGCAACTTTAAGTTGTGGACTTCAACTCCCAGAATTCCTCAGCCAACATGGCTGGCTGGGGAATTCTGGGAGTTGAAGTCCACAGGTCTTAAAATTATCAAGATTGGCCACCATGGCTTGATGTTGTGCAAACTCCAGCCAATTATATATATTCTTTCAATAAATCATGTACATAAACCAAAGTTGACAATACTGGGCTAGGCAGATCAGTGGTATTCCTATTTAAAGATCTTTTCCCCCACCAAGTGGCCTAATAGTTCATTGCACTTTATAAAAGGATTAAATGAACAGAGCTGTGTGCTACATTCATGGGAAAAGAGGTTGAGGCAGCAAAGCTTAAATTTCTGCCACACCCCTCAACTTGGAGGGGGGGGGAAAATACTACACGGTCCTTTTTTTACCTCTGCTCCATCACACAGATATATTTGCAGAGCTGCTGATGAGGTATGATGGAAATCAATATTTATTAAGGCCACATCTTTAGCTTTCAGATTTCATATACATATACATAAAACACATAAGACAAAGGCAATTTCACCACCATGGAAGGAATTTGTTTCTCTCCGAGACAGGCATTAAACTGTGTATACAGAGCATCAGTTTCATTTCCAACAGTTGGCATCTTTGAGGAAGACACAGTGCTTTCCCTGCAAACTTCACGGTTCAAGAGATGTACTTCAGTACTAATGTGAGAAGCCTCCCTAGTGACTTCCCACGCAGAATGAGCAAGTGGGACAGCCAAAGGAAGATAATTCTGAACTAAGTTTGTATTTGCTTTTTCTCAGCATTAGAGGCAGACAAGACCCTTCATCTATCTACCTCATCGAATTGTATAATTATTATCCACACATAGGCTTTGGCACTTCCTTACTCAGTGTTTTACTTAAGTGCGTAAACAATGAAAAGGAAACAAATGCTCCACAAAGCCCTCTGAGTTGATTACACACCTGAACAGAGAACTTAAACCATGTATCAAAAGAAAGGAGTATAAGACAAAACAACTGTGTTGGATTTGTGAATAGCAGACTAGCTATCCCAAACTGGTAAGTCACTTAAAAGATTAGGTAATTATGTCCCCCTAAAATCATAGAAGGTATTGTTGTCAAAAAAGATCAGAGAGGCTCAGGTTAGACCCATATTTCTCAATTTACCATCCAGCTATGTTGACCTAGCAGTTTCAGAATCCTAGCAGCTACCATCCCATCCCCACCAGATGGGTTGGGGCAAACAACCTTTGCTTAGACTGGGTTGGGCAACTCTGCCCCCTTTTTACAACCCATGGACGTCAATTCCCAGAATTCCTGAGCCAGCCATGAATTCTGGGAGTTGAAGTCCACAGGTCTAATGGCTTAGACAAACCCATTAGCCTAAAGATCAAGATTAGGAGACTTTGAACCTTTGCTTCAGGTTGCTGCTTTTGTTCCTATATTTCCTCCACGTTGGAAGACAAGGGAAACAACTGCTTCTACTTTAGAAATGAGGCCTTAGCTCTGTATGCAGTTGGGCTTATGCCCGTCAATCCTGAATATACTTCCTAGGAAGCACATCTCACTTAAATGAATGAGACCTGAATCCAACCCATTGTTTTCAATCAAACTGGAAAGGCTGGTGGGAAAAAGGATGTGATGGCTTTGGGCTTGAGCTCTGGGGCAACCTCCAGGAGGTATATTGCCTAGGCAGGTAGAAAATGCTTGAGCTGGATGGCTTCTGGCTCCCAGGACAATTTCACCCACTCTTGACCACATGCTTGTCTCTGGGAGGCCAAAAACCAGGAAAATTACCTTTACATGGGTCTGGACAAGAAACTATCTACAAAGAGGCTCCAAGTGGTATTTGCATGTAAAGGATATATAAAAAAAGAATTAAAATCAGTCAAAAGGAAATATTGCACTTGAGAAAACACTGTTTCAAGAATGGACAACCTCTTTTGTCCTGGGAGCTACCCTTGACTATTTGGAAGCTAGGACAATAATCTCTCCAAGAGGATGGGGCTGAGACCTGGATGGGACCATTTTCTGGCTATGGAAATGGATGCCTTTTGCCTCCAGAAGGCTGATTGAGCCATCTCTACTTCGTTTTGGCAAAACCTACCCCAAAAGGATATCTCACCAATTTTACCAGATGTTGCAGGACAAAAGGAGGATGTTCTGAGGCTGCAACACATGCACACGGCCTACAAGAAGCCCATCCATGATTTATTAACATTTTCCTTTTTCAGCAGGAGTTAGTGAATTATTTCCATCCGTGTCTCCTTAAAATGCCTTGCATAATGTCTGAGAAAATTAAAACACAATGATGTCATTGTTCTTTCTGCCTTCAGGGTGCAAAAAAAAAAAAGATCCCAAACAACCTGCTTTTGTTTTGAAGAGGAGCCAAGCCAGCTGGCTCTAATTTAGTCACTGCTTTTGTTGGGTGACCATCCTAAGCATCTTCAGTGCCATGTCACCTTGGTCAGCCGGGACCTGAGATCAAAAGAGCATCAGTTAGCCAACTGTAAGGGATTTTCCAGAAAGCTACAAGAACAGGAGCAGCCATAAAATAAAAGGGCACGGGGACCACAAAGAAGAGAAGATTCCCTCCCCACGTTTTGTAATATTATTCATCTATTGTTCATTGAGGCTAAAGAAAAGAGAAAATAAAAAAAGGAAGTAGAAGGCTTGCTCATCCGGACAAAACTACAAAATACGTTTAGACTCCATTATCTCAACTTTGTTGTTGTTAGTTGTGAAGTCGTGTCCGACCTATTGCGACCCCATGGACGTTCCTCCTTTACCATCTTCTGGAGTCCATTTAAGTCCATTATCTCAACTATGGATAGTTAAACATAGTCCCTTAGGATCTTCATCTATTATGAACTTCTGGGTGAGGGAATGGCAAACGAGACATCTCTGATGGAATGGAGATGACAATGCAGCCAAGAGTGACAGACTGGCAATAAACTCAGTTGACAGATGAGGAGAGGATGAGAGATCACCCATTTGTGCTCCAGACTGGCCATGGCATACCAGCAACCAGGCCGCGCAAGCAAGTGAAGCCCCACCCACTGGATGCGGGCAGCATAAGAAACCACACCCCCTCTGGTCTGCAGAAAAATCTTTCTCCACAGAACCGGTCCTTGGTGCCCAAAAGGTTGGAGGCCTCTGCTCCAGACAACCAATCCTTATGAAGAGACTGCAGGACTGCGGTTGAGTGATAGGTAGGAGCACTGGGAGATAAGGGAAGCCATCAAGTGGAGTCTTTAAGATATTGGGGTTCATCCAACCTCAGTTACTAACCATTTTTGGATTTATAGTGATTTTATAATTAACAAAGGTCTTCCAAGCAACAAATCTGGTGACTAAAACTTCATCCCAAAATAGAGGAAAAACTAGCTTATGGCTTAGAGCAGTGGTTCTCAACCTGTGGGTCGGGACCCCATTTGGGGTCGAACGACCATTTCACGGGGGTCGCCAAACAAGGCTGTCCGCCATTTTTTCCCCTTTTCTTTGGCCACGCCCCTGGCACCCAGTGATGTATAAGTGGTTGGGGGTCACCACAACATGGGGAACTGTATTATGGGGTCGCGGCATTAGAAAGGTTGAGAACCACTGGCTTAGAGAATTCAAAGAGCATAAAATAAATGCAATTCAAGAAAGTTATAAATGAATTAAGGAAACAGGTGAATTTGGGATGCTAGGCCTTTTGCTAAGATTTTTAAAATAACTCAGTAAAACATTATTTTCTTTGTAGGAACATAAATGGTTTAATCTATCAGGGAAAAAATGAAAATGGTTGAAATTTGAAAATAAAAAACAAAAAAAATCTGATACTTTTGTGATTAAAGAAATGGGACTCTAAAGAAGACTAAAGTTCCAGGCACAAATAGTAAAAAAGAAAGAAAGAAAAGGGGAGGGGAACCTGTCATCTATTCTTGAACTGAAATAAGAGCAGTGGTTATGGATTATAAAATGACAAAGTTATGATGCTTGAGACATTTCAAAGGAATTTTGAAGAACTGTGCCTGAAACATATAGTTAAACTGTCAGAAATAATTTCTGCACCTCCAAATGCATTTTTTGAAGAAGACTCTAAAAAAGAAAGACATGGAAGAGACTAATATGGAAGAAATTATAAACTGACAGGATGAAGAGGCAAAACAAACTCCAACTGATGTAGAAACATTGTAAAATAAAGTGTCGATTATAAGACAGAAATGGCAGAGTGGAAAAACAAATGATAAGCCAGGAGATGAAAAACGACCAGGATAAGATATTATTGAATTTACAAAAGAGGGTTTCTAAAACCTTGAAGAAATTTGAGACTGGGGTAAAGGAAGTTTAATTAGAGATTCTCTCCGGTGACAGCAATTGGACGAACTGAAGATCAAGATTGTTAGAAACCAACAAATGGAACATAAAATTGACTTCTTGGATCGGGGCTGACATAAGAAATATTTGAATAAAATTCTGGAAACCCTTTATGAGCTTTATGGCAACGCCTGGATAGAAATGACAATGATCTTTGGAATTGCTAATGGATTAAGGTAGGATTATGGGAAAAATAGTTTTATCTTTTAGCATTGTTAAATTATTTAATAAAAACTATTTAAAAAAGAATCTTCATATGCTATTACGATCAACTGAAAGAGCCTTGCTTATGGCAGCCTCTCTCTCTCTCTCTCTCTCCTTGCAAAATTTTCATTTTATTGGCAAACTCTCTCTTTCATGGAAGGGACATAGGTATCATCATACTTGCCCTATTCTTTTGTCTTTGTACTACGCAAAGCTGTGTTTATAAAATGTTTTTCCTTCTTACAACATACAAAACAGAAGCTGTCCTATTCTTGCTCTGAAAGCATGGAAAGGACTTACCATGTGGCCAGCCTTCAGGATCCAGAAGAAGCTCAGATTACAATAGGATTTATAAAAAGCAGCCGTGTCTCTGCATTCTGGGCAGGTGTACAAAGGCTGCCACTTCAGTGCATTAAATTCTTTCAGTTTGGGCCATTTTAGCTTCCGGACCCAAGCTTCTTGCCCTAAACATAGAAGAGAGATCAATAACTCTATCATAAAAAAAGTTGCAACAAACTGGTCCAGTTTGAACAGATAATCCCCCACCTACCGTGGTGGAGAGCCATGGTAGTGCAGTAATTAGAATGCACTGTCGCAGGCTGACTCTGTTCACTGCCAGGAGTCTATGTCTACCAGACATTGATGTGAATGCCTTTGATCAAACAGACCTGAAAGGTCCAGTCATTTTTGCTCCAAAGGACCAACACAACCATCTACTACAAAAACTCGGACTCAGCTCAGCTGAGTGGGCAGATAACATAGGCTGCATTCATACTTATTACTAAGCCTAGATTTGTTCACCTGGATTTGTTGAACATACTACAGTGGTCTGGTTTACATATCTCATTAAGGAAAAACCAGCACACTGCTTGCCTAGATTAATGTTATACTGTACACTAATTATTTACTCTGGGTTAATAAACTGTAACTGAAAAGAAGAATCTAGTTTGGCATATGCATGCAAAGACTGATGAAGTCTCAAAATGCAGCAAAGTAGAAATGAAGAGGGCTTAGGAAATAAATCCAGTACTTTAGCTAAGGATCATGTCATCATTAAAACCGAAAAGCAATGCGAACTACTACTTGTATGGAAGAATGGGTGACAGGAGTCCCATTTTAAGATGAAAGGGAGAGCATAACCTCCACAAACAAGTTTATGCCAGCTACTTCTTACTTATTCATACATCAATGCCTTGATCCTACCTTCTAGCAAAACATCATTCCTATACAAAAGATTTAGCTTCTGATACCATTAATGTCTCACTATATTTCTCTCTTCAATACTCTCTTCTAACCCAGCTCACTTCTTTCTACTATTTCTGGGTTCTATAGCCCCAATTTCCTTCTAGAGCTATGCCATCTATCATCCTTCTACCATTCACTCATTTATTTCTAACTTTTTGCTTCTGATCTCTTCACTTTCTTATCTTACTTGGCGTTTCACGCCGTTCGTGCTGAAAACCGGCATTTACTTCCAGTTTTCGACAAAAACACACCATTGGTTGACTTAACAAGTGCAGATTCATTTAACAACTGCTGCAAAAAAAGCTTGTAAAATCAGGCCGGTCACATGACTGACCCATTTCAGGACCGTCACGAATTATGATCACGATGGACAGGCTCCCTTATGATCATTCAGTGGAGGATTACCTCTATACAGTTGCGCCTGACAACACTGACCTCCTTTGCTGTCTCCACCAAGCCACTCCCGCGGGAAAAACTACTCTTACCCATTGTAGGAACAATGAGATCCAGCTGCCCATTGTATACCGTGACATTCACATTGGCTTCCAGCAAGCTGTCTACAATATCAATTGCGTTTTTCATAAAGTCTTCAGCCATATTCATAAATACACCTGCTGATTGCCCTGCAGAGTGATGACAAAAGAGTAAGAAAAGGCAGATTGCCTTTTCTGTTTTGATGACATTTTTATAAGTTGAAAAGGGGGGAAAAAAAGTAAAATAACTCTTTTCCATTTAAATTCAGGAGAACCATCACTTTGGACGTTATTGTAAAGTTGCCCAGAGTCATTGTATCCCTGAGATGGGTGGCACAATAAATAAATAAATACCCCCAGCTCCCCTTAAGGACAGTACATCAGTTCAATGCCTGCAGATCGATAAAATACATTTTGCCACTGTTCAATCCTAACTTATCATAATAGAAAAATATAATTTCCTAAGAGAAGAGCTTCATCAAAGAGTTCTTCATTCTCCAGTCAGCTATGATATACCGTGCAACAAACTACATGAGTGTTAGATCAGTATTTCTCAACCTTGACCATTTTAAGGCATGTGGACTTCAACTCCCAGAATTCCACAGCCAGCATTGCTGGCTGTGGAATTCTGGGAGTTGAAGTCCACATGCCTTAAAATGGTCAAGGTTGAGAAACACTGTGTTAGATGGAGTCAGTGGATATTACAATACCTCCCCATTTGACATGGTCTGGAATTATTTTCAGCTTCTTTCTGATGGGCCCATTCATCAGGTCATTCAGCTTGTCTTTAATTTGATTTTGTACATGACGCTGGAACAATTTTACTGAAGAAAGAAGAGAAAGAAAAATAGCATTTGAAGTTTACCGGAAAGGGACCCCCTTGTATAGTTGGATGCCCTATTCTTTCTCTTTCTTTCTGTGGGTGTTTCCATAAGTAGAGATTTTTAAAGAAGAGACTGGACAGCCCTTTGTCTGAAATGGTATAGGATCTCCTGCTTGAGCGGGGTTGGACCAGAAGACCTCAAGGTCCCTCCCAAACCTAATATTCTATCTTCTGTGTTCTCTCTCTCTCTCTCTCCCTCTCCCCCCCTCTCTCTCTCACACACAATCAATTGCAACAACTAAATCATATATATATACAAAACAAAAACCCAACCCTCCTCCTACCTTCCCCAGCCCTAATATGGCAGCAGGTCAATAAGTAATAAAATTAATTAAAGTAAAGTAATTAAATTAAAATTAAAACCACTGAAATGTGGCTCCAGTCATGTAAAGGGACATTTGTTCATGACTTCTGAACAGTGAATCCGTGGCAGCCTACCAAAATGTAATCAGATCTAGTCAGTGGGTTTTTTATAAAAAAAAAAAAATGGTGCTGGAACTCACACATATCATACAACCTGCCTTGCCTACCCTACAAGATTCCATCCAAAAAAAAGGTGCCAGAACTCCGTTCTGGGCTTTTTATGACAAAAAAGCCCTGGATCTAGTCAGAAGTAGATCCTGTATAGATCCTTTCTAGCAGTCCTTTGTCAAATCCCAGATCTTGTATATACATTATGGCCCTAACTTGCAAAAGCTTACCCCACTCACCAAGCAAAAAATAAAACTTCTGACAAGACTTTAATGCCATGCTCACTAATGTAATGTTAGGTACTTATCAACAATGGAGATCCAATATGACAATCACAGAACAATTGCTTGTATAGATAATCAGAACTGTCATCTTTTCATGCAACACTCCATTGTTGAGTTCCTGAAACTTTATTTCAGCAACTTCTTTTAGAGCACAGAAGCAGAGAAGGAGAATTTGAAAGCTGTTACTTCCTGTTTGTTCTGATCTCCATTGCACAGTTGCAACAGGCATGTCATGCAAGCTCCCTATATATATATCGAGAGGGCTAGTATGTGATGAGTTCAGACATGCTGGAGTTCCCAAGATTATCTGTGGAAAAAGGTAACAACTGCTAGCATCTGTAAAGGAGCTACACCAGGGGTCTCCAAACTTGGCAACTTTAAGATGTGTGGACTTCAACTCCCATAATTCCCCAGCCAGCATGGGAGAAGTTTATTTATTTATTTATGAGACTTATATACCGCTTTAAGTGCAAGCACTCTCTAAGCGGTGTACACCAGTAAACAATGTATATATATATATATTTACATTGCCTCCAACAATCTGGGTCCTCATTTTACCTACCCCGGAAGGATGGAAGGCTGAGTCAACCTTGAGCTGGTGAGATTTGAATCACTGACCTGCTGAACACAGTCAGCTAAAGTGGCCTGCAGTACTGCACTCTAACTGCTGCGCCACCTCGGCTCAAGTTGCCAAGTTTGGAGACCCTGGGCTATATCTTTGATCTTCTAAAACTACTATTTCTTGCTAAAAAGAGTTCTGACTCAACTTACAAAATGGGGTGGTTTCAGTTGCAGTGGACGAAAGAGCTGCGTCGCTTGAAGAGTCATGTGTTAGAATGTTATAGAAATTCACGCCATTTGTGTTCTAGACAAGAAAAGAAATGAGATTAAGGATAGAGATTCTACAACAAGAGACATGGTTTGCTCTAAGGTTTGGTGTTGAAGAAGACTCCTGAGGATACCACAGATAGCCAAGAAAACCAAAACATGGATCATACAAGAAATCCAACCAGAGTTCTTAGTCAAGTCACCAGGCTTTATGTTACTGTAAGTGAAGATCAAGCTCTCTTAGAAGTCTAAAATGCTGAGAAAATGGAAAGAAGAGGATGACAAGGTAGATGGACTCAGTTACAATGATGATCAGTGCATCATGGGGAGACCCTGAAGACCAAGCTGGAGACAAACTGTCAGAGACAAAATCTACCCGTATGATCCCGAGAAGCTGCCATCAGGTTGATGGCACATAATCAATTAACTAAATCTCTTTACCTTTTCTATGATATCCTCTGCTTTATCCCAAAGCAGGGTAGCAAGCTTAAATGCCCCTATATTCATTGCATTCAAGATCTTCTTGGCAGCAATAGTGACTTCCTTCAAGCCTCGATCATCCAGGAAAGACTGCAGTATAGGGAGTGGGGTGATGGCACAGCAGAAAAGTGGGGGGAAAAGAAATTCAGAACCAACATTGCAGAATATGCCTCAAGTATTTTCAAAGGAATATAAACTGGGCAGCAAATCACCCCAATATCAATGTGTATTTTAACAAGATATTATTTGCAATGGCTTCAAAGGAAATGTAGAGGCTACCTGGAACAATACATTAGAGGGCTGGTAGAAGGTCTTTATTAATCTGAGCAAAGTCAACAAACAGAAACTATTAGAAGTCCTCAGTAAAGGGAATTGTGATGCTCTAAAGAGTCTGTATTTACCACCTATGCTTTAGATAGTTTCCTTTCAAGCGGATCTTACATTATGGCCTATTGGCGAGGCGGATAAATCTCAGCACACTTGAGACCCTGCTGTTCAAGCCTAGTTTAATACCAATGCCATTAGGTGGCATCTTCAGGGATCAAAAACAGCTAAGGGCAGCTGGAGCAGCTGTACCGAAAGGGGGGCACATGGAGAATATGTGCTTGCATGACGAACACATAAGTACTGTAGATCCCAATATGCACTGAGAGCAGATGTAGCCTTTGAGGCCCAGTTGCTTCCTTCCTTCTAGCCTATGTTTATAACCAATCAAATGTTGATCATAACATTCTATGAACTTGCTGACTATGACACTAATTCCAGGAATCTAGAGGAACATTTCTGGTCTGATCCAACAAGGCAACTCTCATGAACAGTCAAAAAGCAGAGGAAGGGGGGAGGGGAGAGAAAGGAAGGAAGTAAGCATCTAGCATTTTTCAAGCTAGGCTCAATGAAATTTGTTGACTTGAATTGACTCTTTATTGGCAGCAAAACAGGTTCATTAGATGTTGTATGGTCAAGGATTAAATTGTGCTTTAAAAACAAAGTTGCATGAATTTTGATATAAAGATAATCTTGATATATCTGTATAGTAGTAAAGTTTATTTACCCTATTTATTAAAATAGAATAGTTCAAGTTATTTTTCTTTTTCTCCCCTCCTTGTGTTAGTTTTATTCAGAGTTTTATATTTTGTACGAATTGTATTCAAAAGTTTGGGGTTTTTTTGTTCTTCCTGGTAGTTGTAAGAACATTAATAAACTTTAAAAAAAAACATGGAGTATATACTTACAGTGCTGTATAGGTAAGGCCCCCAAGCAAGCACAGAATCTAAAAGAAACAAAAATTAAGATTGGCTTTTTTAAAAAATAAAACAGAATAGTGGGCTTATCTTAGTATCTTTCTCACATTTCTCTATTTAAAGCTGTTTAAAGCTCTGTTTAAACTGTTTTAAGTTCCTGAATGTTTTCTGCACCAGAACAGAATAAGAACTTATATAAAATCAATCCTAGCAATTTAAAATTGGCAGCTTTTCAAAAGGAGGAGGAGGGGGGGGAGGAAGAGGCGGTAGCAGCAGCATCAGTGCAGGGAAAGAACTCCTAGTTTTTAAAGTGGCATCAGTGGAGCCTCACAAAAATCTCTAAATCCATGGAGATCTAATTTAGCATCAAACTATTTATTATCCCAAAATATCAAAATCTGGAGTCTTCCAGGAGCATTGATACAAAATTTCCATCATCCCCAGATTGGAGGGATAGCCAATGCTGGCTGGGTGCTGAAAGCCTTGTATTCTAACTAACATATCTTGATGCTACCAGGCTGAGGAGGATGACATTAAACTATTCACATTTTTAAAAAGATCTCATTCGTGTTGGTATTACATATTCTGAAGAATAGCCAAGATTATGAAGGGGGAGTAAACCCTCTGGACAATTTTCAAATCACATGGGAAGGCCAATCCAGATTCACACTGACAACGGCCATTGTGTATCTAGTAATGGCATTCTGTTTACAGTAATCAGGATCATGTGTTAGATCTCCTATTCCAACATGCAATATCTTCTTTCCTTTAAGATAAAAATTGCCCAGTTTAATCATACTTAAAATAACCAACCAGAAAGCCATATATAATTGAACATATAATTCTAAGTGGCTGGAATATTAAATTTCCAATAGAAGAGAATATCTGTAGCTAAGGGTTGAACTGTAGAATCTTTAGCGCTCTCTGAACTTAGTTCAGACATTTTATTACCTAACTAGGTAACATCATTGGTGTTATTTAGTCATGTAATAAAACAACTGCAGAGAGCACCAAGGATTCCATATTAAACTTCCTCAGTCTCTAAAAATTATCTGATAGACAAGCAGAATTGAAAAATTTTGGTATACAGATAAGATGGAGAGATTTTAATCCTAAGGTACCTGAAGTCAAGTTGAGATAAAACCAAGCCTCTACATTCTCCCTTGAACCTGAGTTGCTGGTACCGAATTTTAAAATATCCGTAACTTTTTTTCAGATTTTGCCAGAAAGAGGCAAGAAATACATTGGAAGATACATAATAGCACAGATGTACTTAGCTCCACATGAATATACCTAGAGGAGAAATCCATGAATCACCAAGGGCTACTCCATGAAAATTGCACTTGATTGTTCCAGCTTGAATAGCCTTAAAAAACAGAATTAAGGCTTAATTAAAATCTAAGTATTCTGAGGTAAATGTATCATATATTTTCAAGCACCTTCCCTTAAGGGTAGGAAGAAGGCAAACAGGAACTGCAGAATTTTAAAGTAGGTCAATTTCTTAGCTGATGCTACAGCTAAGGAAGATGCTTCTTGGTTAAAAACAATCAAATCTCTAGCAATTTCACACACAGACGGGCCTGTGTGCATGTCAAGATCAGGAAGGTGGTAGATGGAGTGTAAGCCTTGCCCCTCTGAAAGCTTGTGCAATGACGAATGGACAAAAGGGGCGGGACTTGCCTTGTGATCAACTGCTCACCATCTTGTCAGTGGACTTTGCTGCTTATGCAGTTTATTTTAGCTTAGTACTAACATTCTTTGCCTCCACTGTGCTAGTTATCAGGTCTATGCCAGGAATCAAGTCTGGAACAGACACATCTGATGAACTTGATCCTCCCAAGATCTCTTTAATAAAAAATGTACTTGATATTATGTAATTTGTACATTACATTTTACTTCCTTCCTTCTCTCCCTCCCTCCCTCCCTCCCACATTAATTTTCTTCCACATTTTCTGATAATCGTAAGGGGAAAGAGTAGCTACTAAATCACTAGCTAACCCAGGGCTCCTACTGCCAATGTGCGCTTACACAACTGGTTGCAGCAGGGATGTACAATATCTTTTGGTCTGAAGATTGCACCTGGTGCCTGAGTCTCATGCAAAGTCCACATATCCACATGACTCTTATCTAACTCTAAGCAAGTGCTGTTAGTAGTTTCTGGTGCATAGTCTATAGCAGTGGTTCTCAACCTGTGGTCCACAGATCCCTGGGGATTCATGAAGGCTTGAAGAAATACTATGCTTTAAATCTTGAGTTAAGTCTTGGAGGTCCATGCCTTAGTCTGTGTCCACAAAAGGTATTTAAAGGGGGTCAGTGGTGAAGAAAATGTTGAGAACCACTGGTCTATAACAATAAATCAGTTTAATTGAACCCCATGTGGACCTGATCTTTCACACCTGACATGGGAATATATATATATTTCACATCAGAGATGACAGCACCTAGCTAGTTTTGACTGATCTGAAAAAAGCAAAAGCAGTGAAATCTAGTTAATGCTGGGAAAGGAGAGCATTAGAAAGCCAAGGGTCATAGACTACAGTAGACTGGGAGGTCAGAAACACATCCTAGAAGCAGTAGTAAAACACTTCCATCTTGTTACCAAAGAAACTACATCAAGGTGTCCATATAATAATCAGAAATCAACCTTGATTTGAGGAGGATTTTATATGCCTCATTTATTCTTCCCTCAAGATCTTGCAGAAGAAATCTAAGCTACCGTGAGGGAATCCATTTTCTCTGAGAGGAAAAGATCAATTTTACCTTATGAACTTCCAGAGCAATTGCAGCTGCCATTTTTCCTCCATAAGATTCGGAAAAGATGTAGAAGGGGATTGTCTGAAAGGAAAAATGCATTAAAAAAATTAAAGAGTTTGAGCAACATTCCACAAAAATAAAAGAATTGCTCAGTACATAAACCTTTACTCTTTTCTTCCTCTTGCCTGATGCCCATAAACCCTACGGGTAAATCTTTCCTCAGAAGAGCAAAGCAAAATGGCCTCCTTCTGCAGCTAGACACCCCCTTGCATGTCTGTCCTGCCCGTTCCATAGGTATGGGATTCATTACAGTGCAAAGCAGATTATGTCATATAATCAGGCCCAATTTTATGTTTTTTACTGCAATCATTAAGCAAATGCCAGTGTCATTAAGCAAAGCCTAGTTTCTGGCGAAAAGCTTTGTAAATCACATAAAGGCAAGCTGGTTACCGAGCACCCAAAATGCAATTATGTCATCACGGGGGTGGGGGGTAGGGAAGCAATTGTCAGAACTCTGAATATGGTTGTAAGTACAGGTACCTTTTGGGGGGGGGGTCTGCTGTAACGCTAAGTGACCCGTCATAATTCATGTTTTACCTGTACACCAAATGAAGTCATTTACACATCAACTAGGACATTTGGGATTTCAATCCAAAAATAAAAAACTAACATTTAATTTTATTCCCTCCTAAAGTTAGAGAATCCACTCCATTTTAATGACAGAGCAACCCAATGAATTTGCAGGGACCCTTCATATCTCCCTCTAATCATAGTAAAAAGCCTACTTCTTAGGACTGATCCTACGCTCTAAGTCTTTCCAGCCAAAATTAGGCCTAGGATTATAAAACACTCCATTAAAGTATTGCACATGGGCTGGCTTCCATTAAAGGACCAATTTTCAGAAGAGAGAAATCTCTATGCTAGCAGGAATGAGGAACCTTTCAACACACCATCATTTGCCTCATATTCTGAGAGACTTTGAAGGAGGGAAAAGGGGGGTTAAATCTAGACTTCGGGCACACTCAAATTGTGAATTCCTGCTATGTCAGCACTCCCAACAGGACTTGCCCTCTAGCAGATACTGTTCAAGATAACAGTCTGCAGGAGCCTTTGCAAGCATAACTATTAGTGGCATGAACAAGGATCCCAATTGGTCAAGATGCTGATTTGCAAGGAAGCCAGCATATTTATTTATTTATGAGACTTATATACCGCTTTAAGTGCGAGCACTCTCTAAGCGGTGTACACCAGTAAGCAATGTATATATATATTTACATTGCCCCCAACAATCTGGGTCCTCATTTTAACTACCCCGGAAGGATGGAAGGCTGAGTCAACCTTGAGCCGGTGAGATTTGAACCGCTGACCTGCTGAACACAGTCAGCTAAAGTGGCCTGCAGTACTGCACTCTAACTGCTGCGCCACCTCGGCTCAATGTGCAATATGTGCAATTTTAAGAAATTTAAGCAAGGTTTCTTTCCCAAAGCCATTTGATAAACGTCAGCAGAGCTTAAAAGATTTGTGTGATGTGTACTTCAGTTTTGAAATGCCTGAGTAAGTGCTAATGTGTAGTGCTTGATACAGTGTAGTGGACAATATGGCTTTCCATGGGCTGTTCCAGCTGTACTTGCCTGGAATTCCACCTTTGATTTAAAGAACTCTCGGAGAACCACCATCATATCCGAAGCGACCATGCTGAGATCAGTGGCATAGGCAAGGGTGTCATTAACATAACTGTATCCGGTGCCAACAGGATTGTCAACAAAGAGAAGACTTGCTGCCTGCAGCTACATCACCCAAAGGAAACACTGACATCAGCAACACACACAGAGGGAGAGCAGCATAAAGGAATCACAATGAAAGGAGGAGTCTTTGAAAGATTCCCACAAAGACACGATGGGAGAGCTTATTTTGCATTGAAAGGATAACACATTACTTAATATTGCTGTATTTTAAGCCTAGAGGCATTTATTAAATATCTCTTAGCATTAGCTATTCTTAGGCAACCTCAGCCATAGAAGTCTTTATTAATACTTGCAAACTTTGCAGAGTCATACCTTCCATACTTTGTGGTTCTAAACAAAATTTCCCCCAATTTTAAGTTCATTCTTTTAAGGTTTTATAAATTATCCAGATGTTTCTGTCTGTCTGTCTGTCTGTGTGTTTATGCATACATTGGTGTGTACATGTGTATGTATATATCTATCTTTTTAATATACATGTTTTTGTTTGACTTTCAGGATAGTGAGAAGCAGTCTTACTGGTAATCTTTAAAAATGAATCCAAAGTAATATCTAAAGTCTTACTTGATTTGTTTAACACAAGGATAATACCGAAAAATACAGCACATAAAGATTTCCTGGCATAAAGACAAGTAATCTATTAGGCTCCTGAATGAGATGTACAGTAAGAGTAAGATCACTTTAAATAATAGACAGCTTCAGAAGCATTCAGTAAATGGGCTGCTTAAAGGAAAAGAAGCAAGAAAAATCTCAAAGTCTACATTTCAAACAAAAATCAACATATTGGAAATTAGCCATTTTTTTTTTTTACGTAGCCTGCCAGAACATGCCCAGTCTTCCCACTATAAGTTAAGACAAATACCCAAGTTGTATTTCTTGGTTTTAAATCAGCATCTAGGGGGCCAATCTCTTCAAAATTTCCATACCCGCAACTTGAAGCTCCTGGGCCTCCCTGTGGAAACATAGAGATGAGAAATGGAGGGAAATACATCAAACATTTTTCTTACTATCTTTATTTTTCCATTTATCTCCCAAGAAAAGGAGTGATGAACATAATGGTTCCATTCCAAGACTCTAACGCAAATTTAGATAGAATCCTGTAGAACTTTTTTCTCAGAAAGGGCTATGTTAGTCTAAATCAGACATGTCAAACGCAAGGGCCGGGGGCTGGATGCGGCTCGTGGTTTCATGTGGCCCGCGAAGCCATCCTGGAAACAGTGAGGGAACGGCCCCGCTGCCTTGGCCCTGGCCCAGGCCAGGCGGGAACCAATGTACAATTTTGTGGTGGCCATCTATAATGAAACACATTCAGTCTTAGCTCCATAAGTCCCTACCCCCACCCCACATGGCCTGAGAGGAACAGTGAGGCTCCTCCAGTGGACCATGCCTTGGCACTTGCCCTGGTCCCACCCCCTTCTGCCAGAGACCCTCAGATCTGTCCCAATCCTGCCCAGGCCCCCACAGGCACCCTTGACGTGAATGATGTAGAGCTGGCCACATCCACCCAGTAGGCCACACCCACTCCATCCATGCCCACCCAGTAGCCTGCACCCACCCCGGCCACACCCACCCGGCCCCCTGAGGGCAACCACAATGCTGATGCGGCCCTCAATGAAATTGAGTTTGACACCCCTGGTCTATATGGAAAGAAATTGCAGGCCTTTAAAAGATGCCCAGCAGGCAGAATTTCTGAATTTTCCAAGCTAAACCTAATTCCTGCTTGTTACAGGTAGTCTTTGACTTACAACCACAACTGAGTCCAAACCTCTGTTGCTAAACAAGACAGCTGTTAAGGGAGTTTTGCCTCATTTACAATCTTTCTAGACCACAGTTGTTAAGTGAATCACTGCAGATGTTAAATTAATAACTTGGTTGTTAAGTGAATCTGGCTTCCCCATTGGCTTTGCTTGTCAGAAAGGTTGCAAAAGGTGATCACATGATCCCGGAACACTGCAACCATCATAAATATGACTCAATTGCCAAGCATCTAAATTTTGATCACGTGACTATGAGGATACTGCAACAGTCATACATGTGACAAACAGTCATCAGTCACTTTTTTCAGTGCTGTTGTAATTTTCAATGATCACTAAATGAATGGTTGTAAATTGAGGACTACCTGTATAGGCATAGGACCTGACTACGTGAAATGCCACAATAAAATTCTATAGCTCAATTATGCTATGCCATCACTTAGTTTTTGCCCTTAACGATTTGAATTGCTGTTCCCAATTCTTGACAGTGCTTTGAATCTTTAAAAGCTTCTGTAGTTTGAGATGAGGGAAATATTAGCAAAGAATGACAAGCTCCATACTCCAAGTAGCTTAACGAGCAACACATAACAAGCAGGATGGAGCTCTGAGGAAGCTTAGCATAATATAGTTTCCTCAATTTTGGCTTAGAGCAGAAGTGTCAAACTGCTGGCCCGCAGGCCGGATGTGTCATGCCGAAACTGTGCCCACCCCAGTGCCAGCAATGGGAAAAAAAGTCGCAATACGTCGTGACACGTCACATGACGTTGTGAGTTTGATACCCCTGGCTTAGAGTGTTATGCAGCTATAATTATTTGCAAATGGCCCGGCTTATTTTGGTAATCATGTTTCAAAAGCAGTAGCTAAGCTCATAAAACACTCCAAGCAACTTACAAATCCAAACAATTAACAGCACAGCTTTGTGTGGTACATCAGACATAATATTTCTGATTTTCAGTTGCTTTTAATAGCTTGACTTAGAATAATTACCCCCAACTTACCTGCAGCCATAAGATAAGAGGAAGTTGTGTGAAATTTTGAGTGGGACTGTCTGCATAGTACAACCACCAAAACATGCTTGCATTGCTTCTGACAGGAACATACCCCCATGCCTGTTTTGTTTCTTTAGGTTCCTTTATTGAAAAAGCTAAAAGGGAAAAAAAAGTAAGCAATTACTGTGCTTTATAAAGCTAAGAGTACAAGAGGACTTGGTATTCTCCTATCATTGTGAGAATTTCAGCAGAAGAATCTCTTCCTTCTACACCAGGATACTCCAATCTTGGCAACTTTAAAACTTGTGGACTTCAATTTCCAGAATTCTGGGAGTTCAAATCCACAAGTCTTAAATTTGCCAAGGTTGGAGATCCCTGTTCTACACTACCACATCAAACCTATAATTCCTCCATACTTTCTTGTACAATTGGCTTTGCACAGTATGTGGTTCTTTCAAAGCACAGAGATAATAGAGATAGCAATGCTACTTTAAGTGCCAGAAATCCCCTCGATTTTGCAGGATCCTATGCAAACAGGGTTAATCAGCAAGGCCCAGATTAAATTTTGAGCGCTAAGTGTTTCATCAACATTGACAGTGGGAGAGTGAGATAGTCTATGGATCTTTTCTGCCCAGTGGAAGAGCCTGAGGTGACATTCATCCTAGAGCTATGATGAATCACAGAGTAAGGTTTACATATCAAAATGTCTCACGACTCACAAGCATTAACAAGACTTTTTTTTTTGTCAACATCAAGGAATCTGCAGATCATCTGCTATCCAAATTCCCTCTACTTTTGAGACAAGCTCTGCCCACTTCAACAGGACAAACCAGTATCTATTCGTTAAGCTCATTCCTTTGTTTTGAATGAATACAGATTTTAATCCTCCTTAGTCTTCTTATACAACAAAATAGATCCAGCCACTTCAGAGACCAAACAAATGGCAATATTTTGAGGGTGTGGAAAATACCCACTTATTTGAAGCCAACCTGTTCAACTTCCTTTCCACCACTCCATTTTTCTTTTGTTCCTTTTCCTGAATTTTTCCAAATGAAGCTCAGCACATGAAGCCCACAGGCATTCTTTGAAATTAAAAAAGAGACATGTCAGTCTTCTTAACTAAAACAACTCTGTTTTTAAAAAGAAAAAGAAAAAAAACCACAGAGCAGGTAGGAACGTTGGAGGGTGCTAATTGTCCAATCTCATGGAATGATCTGTGGGATGGGCACAGAGTACACCAGATACTTATTTTCACCTTTCTTAAATCTTGCCACTTTTTCTCCTACCCAACAGACCTCTCCTTGGAATTAAATAACTGGCAGTAGGGAATCCACCATCTCACTCCAGAGGGCACAATTTCTTTGGAGCTCTTTAGTAGACAGGATTCAAACTTAGAAGACACTCCAAGGTCCACATATTAATAAACAGGACTGCATAGTTAGTATAACCAAATCCAGTGCCAAGTAGATTGCCAAGATAGCCTCCTACACACCTTTTGCTCACCTTCCATCAAGAGGACACATTCCTAAAGCAGCTTACATCATACCGGTATCAGTCCTACTGACCTCAATGTAACTGCTCATCTGTAGATGTAAACCTTATGCAAAATACTGCTAGCTTCTTTCCCCCACAGTAGCAGCACTTGTTTAAAGGCAGTGTCAAGATAGAATTTGGAACGTAGAATAGTTTAACCCAGAACTATAACATCTCTCTACAGTGCAAATGGGCACTCCTAATTATACTGCTGCTTGGTAGACAACTCATTATTGAAAGCAGAGGAGAAGAGAGAAAAAATAAATAAAATGGAGTACCCCAATTCTCAGAGTGCAGTGGGCACAATCCTACATAGAGTTGGTAGTTAAAAGTCAGTTCTTCAATAGGATTTATTTCATAATAAGCAACTGTGAGAGTAAATCCCATTGTGATCTCCGCCTCAAAGACTATATTATGCAAACCCAAAGACCTTCCAAGAATAAAGGTTGGTATCATATAGTGATTTATTACAAGTAAATCCTATTCAAATCAATGGGACTCAACAGAATAGATTTGTATAGGACTGTGTTCCTCTCATCTCCAGTGCTCAAGTTAAATAGCTCAGTGTAAGGTAGATAGGATTTGTACAGGCTTAACACTACTGATCTGAACAGACTTATGCTAAGAAGTACTAACCCTGATTTTTAAAAAAAACCATGTAGATCTATCACATATCGTCTGGAAAAATCCAGAAGATCACTTGATAGAAGCATATTAGACTGTTCTATAGCTCTCTAGTGTCATGTAGTGGCCATCCAGATTTTTCTTCTCTGATATGGTAGTCTTAACATCTGGCTCTCTTATTTATTGCCACTTGATTGAAAGATACCTGGTAGAATAATCCCACAAACATTTATTCTGAAATAGTATCAGCAGTGAGATGGGCAGCCTATAAATTTAATAAATAAACATTTTCTGATTTTATTGGGGTTTGCTCCTATAATAGTTGGTGAAGCATAGAGAAGTCTGGCTAAAACTAAAGACTCCCAACTTCCTCAGTCATGGAAACTCACTAAGGAATTTGGGTAGGTCACTATTCCTCCATTATTATTTCATTTTTTTTATTTGTCTATGAAAATGCCTGCTGCACCATATATATACTTTGCCTTTGAAGAAATATTTCCATATTTGGGAGAAGAAGTTATACAATTTAAATTTAAATTATATAGTAGTTCTTGAGTATCTAATGTTAGAATGCTACCTTTAAAAAAAGAGTGACTACCTAACTGGGAAGTTTCCTTTTAGGCAAATTTAAAAACTTGTTTTAAATAACCTACCGATTAAAGGACTAGATATTCTACAGTCACATTCCAAACAAGCCTGCTTGGCTGAATTCTGGAATCAAAGTGTCTCCCCACAGTAGCTCATATCTCCTAGCTCTGTGCCAAGCTGTCACCAGAGATCAGAGAAGTATGTGGATGACAAAGGAAAAGAGATGTCAACTAAAATACAAAGGGGGGGGGGAGTGCCTGAAAGTACTAATACTGCTTGCATCTGCAGACTGCAGCAGTTTTTACTGTAAAAGGCAAAAATTTCCCCCCAAAAAGAAAGATCACACTGGCTGAAACTGCTGGGAGGTGTAGTTCACCAACAACCTAAGGGAGATGGGCTGGCTCTAAAAAGAGGATCTAAGAGATTTCCGCAGAGATTTCAGCCCACGATTATTCGTTCAGATTCTGCCGCTTAGCTAATTTTCTTGCACGGGGGGAGCTTTGCATAACTGACAGGCTGAGGAGGTTAAGCACAAAGCAAGTTTCTTAAATCTCAATACAAATAAAATAACAATGGATCTTACGCTCGGGTTAGGTTTGTGTGTGCGCGAGCGCGCGTGTTTTAAATTAGCTGTTATTAATCCTACACGATCTGGGGGAAAAAAGGAGAGAGAAGAAGCCGTCTCCCTCCAAACTTACCTGAATTCAGAGTCCACAGCGACAATATCAGAATAATTCTTTCCGTCAGCAACATCTTGACGACGGCACGGCAATCTTCAGGACAACAGTCGTAAGGTTTAAGCTTCCCGTCAGCGTCTCTGAAGAAGGGGAAGTGGCGAGCCGAGTTTAAAAGCGAGCCTTGCGGTACAGTTTAAGACCCAGCCCAACTCAGGAACTACGATGTTGTTGTTTTTTCCAAAAGCTTCTCACATGATCGCTTTGGTCCTGCCCGACCTTTGCGCGCTACGAGCTGGACCGGGGGCGTCAGACCGGCCTTCACCGCGCGAGATTCAAAACGCAGGCGCTGATTCTGGCTTTGTCCTGGTGGGACGGATTTCGCCCCTGCGGCTCTTTTGCTCTGCTGGAAGAACCGCCAAGTTCCTCTAGCCCGATCTGGCCTAATTTTGGCTACCAGGGCGATAAGACTGGTGAAAAAAAATCAATTTAAAATAGTTTAGCCTGTATGCTGTAACCTGTAACCTATTTGGAGTTGCTTCCATCCAATGTATTTCTTGCTGACAAATGTAACCAACATGGACCTCTGGCTGAATTCCATCACTGCAACATACCCCCACATACGCCTGCCTACCTTATGGACCATTCTTCTTCTACACACACACATACACGCATACACACCCCTCTTCCTATCTTTTGAAACATTCTTCCTCTATACACACACACATATATTCCCCTACTCCAGACACAGGCATGTCTTGAGCAGAGGTTTGAAGCTGCAGGACACAGCTTGATAAACTGAGTTTATTGCTTCTTATATACTTGTTACATACATAGGCTTTATCATTAAATGCTGACATTTTACATTCATAAGTTTAACCATTAGATGCTGACATAAAGTTTCTTCATTGGAAAATTCCTTCATATAAGCAACTATTTTCTAGTAACACATTACATGGTCAAAGACCAAGTAAGAACAAATACAGGTAGATCAAAAGGAGAAAGAACTGACAAAGACAGGAAGAGATAGGAAGGAACTTAAGCATAATATCTGTTTAGGTAGGTGAGGCATTAAGTCAACAGCAGATGACCTTCTGGCTGCTTCATTAGGACAAAGGGTATCAAAAGGTTATAAGGTTTGTGGGTGGGGGGGGGAAAGCACGGCAGTTTGCTGCACGTGCATTTTTCCCCACACACTCCTACTTATTTTCTGGAAGTCACTGATTATGTCATCAACGCCTGGGAATCTCAGGGGACCTGTGAAATATTGAGGTGCTCCCTTAATGATCTAAGCTCATTTGTTTTTTACTTTTAAAACTTCAGTTTGACTACTTTTGACATATTTATTGTCTTAGATTATTTGTTGTACAGTCGTGAATTATTTCTTGTGAAATGAGTGGCCATACAAATTCGATGGATGGGTGGGTGGGTAGATTAGATAGATAGATAGATAGATAGATAGATAGATAGATAGATAGATAGATAGATAGATAGATAGATAGATAGATAGATAGATAGATAGATAGACAGACAGTCAAACAGATAGACAGACAGACAGACAGATGTGGTTTACTTTGTTTTCATTTAGTCTGGTATGCATACCTAGTAATAGGGTTAAATAAACCACAAGTACTACAGGAAATTGTATGATTTGGGAACTAGGTATTTACTTCCACAACTTCCTCTTATAAAAGAAAAAGCTTCCTGAAATACAAGCTCCCCTAAGCATTTGCAACCTTGCCCTAAAAAAATATGATTGCACTCAAGAGAAAAAGCAAGCAGAATTCACTATGGGATTAGTAAATGTGGCTTTTTTGCTTTTGGCTTAGTGTGCTGGATGCATCCAGTCAATTGGATGCATCCGGGACATGCTATCAGTGTTCCAATATCTCAGGGGCTGCCATAAAGAAGAGGGAGTCAAGCTATTCTCCAAAGTGCCTGAAGGCAGGACAAGAAGCAACAGATGGAAACTAACCAAGGAGAGAAGCAACCTAGAACTAAGGAGAAATTTCCTGACAATTAGAACAATTAACCAGTGGAACAACCTGCCTCCAGAAGCGGTAAATGCTCCAACACTGGAAATTTTTAAGAAAAGACTGGACAGCCATTTGTCTGAAATGGTGTAGGGTTTCGTGCCAGAGCTGAGGGTTGGACTAGATCAGTGGTTCTTAATCTTTTTGAAAAAATTGCCCCCTTGAGCTAATGAGGAAGTTGTCATCGCCCCCCTTCCCCAACATAACCTCTCAATCACAACATAGGAAATAATTCTTCAATTTATGCAAACCCTTTTTTTGTTTTCTTTAAAATTGTCATCAGGACATACGATGCAAATAATTTATTTCCAATCTTTTTCCCATATCTCAACTGTGTGAAAAAGTTTGGTGCCATCCGTCACTTTATTCCCAAACTTCGTGATACATGTATTTCATTATTATTTTATTTATTCAAGACACTTAAATGTAATGACCACTGAAAACAAAACACTGGGAGCCGCAAAATCCTTTTGACATCTAAAATGAAGATAACACTGAAGATATCCCTTTTTACCTTTATACAGTATATATCTTCAGTGTTATCTTCATTTTAGATGTCAAAAGGGTCTCTCTCTCTCTCTCTCTCCCTCCCTCTCTCTCCCTCTTTCTACCCTTGGTCTGCCAGTCCTCTTCCTCCACTCAGTGTGTGTGTGTGTGTGTGTGTGTGTGTGTGTGTGTGAGAGAGAGAGAGAGAGAGAGAGAGAGAGGCACTTGCGCTTCCTCCCTCTCTCTCTCTCCTCTCTTTTTCTCTTTCCCTTCTCCCGCTCTCTTTCTCTCTTTCCTCTCCCTCCCTCCCCCCTTCTTTCTCCAGGTGAGGAGACAGAGAGAACGAAAGGCAGAAGGCGCCGAAGGGGTGGGGAGGGGGGGCAGGAGGCAGCAGAAGACCCCGTCGCAGCTGGAGGCACCCAGCTCTGCTGCCCGCCGGGCCTGCAGGGAGACCCCGGCTCACGTTATGTTGGCAGGCCGTTCCATATGCCGCTGGCATCCCCGGGCTCAATTCAGAGCCACGGGGCATCTGTGGAATGCCCCGCCCGTCGGCTGCATCGCCAAGCCTCCCCTCACGCCGCTGGTGTCCCCAAGCTTAAGTTGCCGGGCATCCGCGGAACGCCCCCCATCAACTGCGTCGCCAAACCTTCTCCCATGCCACCGGCATCCTCGGTCGGAACTGGAGCAATAATCCACCTACCGCCAGGACCAATGCTGGAGCCTCCCATGCTGCCGGTAGTTCCATCGTGCTAGAGGAGTTGGGGCCACTCCGCACTGCGCGGCACACCTGGCGATCCACGACCCACCAGCATTGCCCAGGGAGCGATGCCCCCACCAGCCACCACCCCAGCCCAGACTGCCATCTGGGAGGGCAGCAGGAGGAAGAAGGGGAGGAGGAGGAGGGCAAGGAAGTCGGTGCCGGGCCCCAGGAGGCGGCGCTCCCGCGGGTCCGGCCAGGGCTCTTCTGCTGCTGGTTGGAAAATGCCTCCCCCTCCCTTTCTCTCCCCCCCCCCATCTTCTGCTCACCTCACATTCTTTGCTGACAAAGCAGCCGGGACTCTGGTGTGCCTTCCCAGCCAGCTGGGCCAACGATCCCATGGCTGGGGATCGCAGGGGCTGCTCTCCTTCGGGGCCGCAGCTTGCGGGAAGGCTGGCCCGCTCAGCTGAGGCTCTGGCAGGCTGCTCCCAGCAGGGATCCCAGGGCTTCCCCGCACGGTTCCCCAGCCATGTGCACCTCGGACGGGGCCAGCCAGGGAAAGGGACTTCCTGGCTGCGCTTCTCCCAGGGGGCAGGGCACCCAGGCACAGGGCCAATCAGGAGCCCTGCTAAAGTGGGAAAGAAATAGAATAACATAGAATAAAGAAGAATAAAGTATAATAATAATAATAATAATAATAATAATAATAATAATAATAATAATAATAATAATAATGAAAAATCACTAAAAGCAAAAATCATGTGTCTGCATAATCTCTGAAAGAAAGCTGTGTTAACAAAAGCTGTATTAACAGTACGTGAATGACCTAGTGCATATTTAGAAACATTGTATAAAAGTAAAAACTGCCTTCATTGTATTCCCATGAGAAATGGACCTAACGTGTGAGAAACTATCTGAATGTTACACAAAGTAGATTCCATATACAATGTAAGATTCCATCTATGCTTCCTTTGTTCCTGAGAGAAAGAAACCTATAAAGCTTTAATTCAGACCCTTCCCCCTTGTTCAGAAATTTGCTGATTGTTAAATCACTTCTGAACCTTTTTGCGCAAAAATAAAGATCTCTCTTTCACCCATGGAATTTCGTAAAAGCCCTTTATTTTTTTAAGGCTTTATTTTTCCACAAGATTTATGGCGACTCCGCCGGGACATTTTTAAGGGCTTTTAAGAAAAAGGATTTAACCTTCCAAGACGGATTGCCCTGGTGCCCCCCCCCTCTCCTAAACGACGACAGCTCCAAAGCCGGCTTCGTAGCTCTTGACTACGAGGAGAACTCGACGGGAGGAAAGGGAATTAACCCATCAGGAAGCATTCCAGTCTGAGGATCCATGAGGGTGACAGACAGATCTTAAATCAACAAAGGAGTCTGGAAAACGCCTGCAGGCAAGTATTGTAAAACAGGGGAAACCTGATCCCTTTTGGATCGGAAGAGGGGACTGATCACCCCCTAGAAGGCAAAGGTGGCGTCCTTAAGCCTTCAATAGGCAGGATTGTGTGGGAGGTTAAACCATTGTAGCTCATGCTGAGTGATCAATGGTAGTGTATTAGAGAAATGGGTGGGAAAAAGTCAAAGGAGAGCGTTGACCAGACGCCACTCCAGTGCATGTTAAAGAATTTCAAAAAGGGTTTTTCTAGGGATTATGGAGATCCAAAACCAAATCCAGCCATGTTAAAAAGATTCTGTGAATCTGAGTGGACTGCCCTGGGCGTAGGGTGGCCAAAAATGGGATGGGCGAATCCCGAACTCGTTGCACGGGTTCATCAAATTGTGACTGGAAATGGTTATTGGGACCAGTACCCCTATGGAAAATCAACATTGCACAGAGACCCAGATGGTTAGCAAAATGTCAGATAGAGTGTGCAAAGATATATTTGGCAAGCCAAAAAGCCAAGCCTCAAACAAAAGCTAAGATTTTCAGCCAGGAAGATAGGGAGGAAATTGCCAGACCACCCCCCTACGTTCCTAGAAGAGAAGAAGGGAGAATAAATCAGCAAATTCCACTCCCTCTGCCTGAAAGAGAAGCCCAATTTCAGCCAGAAGCCGGTGAGGAAGGAAAATTAGCAACAGCTGAATCCCTTCAAGAAACAGATAAAAGCTTGAATAACTTTGAAAGTGAAACCTCAGTTTCTAGCCGCACCAGGAGCAAGTTAGAAATAAAGACAGAAGAAAATATTGCCCCTCTAAGAGAGGTGTTGGTTCCTGGACCAGATAACACTAATATTTCAATGCTAC